AGAAGGATGAGAAGAAGGAGAAGGATGAGAAGAAGGAGAAGGATGAGAAGAAGGATGAGAAGAAGGAGAAGGATGAGAAAGAAGGATGAGAAGAAGGAGAAGGATGAGAAGAAGAAGGATGAGAAGAAGAAGAAGGATGAGAAGAAGAAGAAGGATGAGAAGAAGAAGAAGGATGAGAAGAAGAAGAAGGATGAGAAGAAGGAGAAGGATGAGAAGAAGAAGAAGGATGAGAAGAAGAAGAAGAAGAAGGATGAGAAGAAGGAGAAGGATGAGAAGAAGAAGAAGGATGAGAAGAAGAAGAAGGATGAGAAGAAGGAGAATTCCAAGCCGGCAAAAAGTGTATCTGCAGAGCTCCGCTATTTCTTAGCGGAGCTCTGCAGATACACTTAGCGGAGCTCTGCAGATACACTTTTTGCCGGCTTGGAAATTCTTCTTGTTTTTTTCATCCTACTTCTTCTTCTTCTTTCTTCATCCTCATCCTCAGAAAAAGAAGAAGAGGAGATGAGGATGAGGATGAAGAAGAAGAAGAAGAAGAAGTAGGATGAAAATAAGAAGAATTCCAAGCCGGCAAAAAGGTGTATGTGCAGAGCTCCTCTAATTCTGACAGATACACTTTTTCCCGGCTTGGAATTCTTCTTATTTTCATCCTACTTCTTCTTCTTCTTCATCCTCATCCTCATCCTCTTCTTCTTCTTCTGAGGATGAGGATGAAGATGAAGAAAAGAAGAAAAGAAGAAGTAGGATGAAAATAAGAAAGAATTCCAAGCCGGCAAAAAGTGTATCTGCAGAGCTCCGCTAAGTGTATCTGCAGAGCTCCGCTATTTTCTGACAGTTCTCTGACATTCACATTTTACAGCGGTTGAAACATTGTATCTATTTGTTTCCATAAATGTAAACAAATAGATACAATGTTTCAACCGCTGTAAATGTGAAATGTCAGAGAACTGTCAGAAATAGAGGAGCTCTGCAGATACACTTTTTGCCGGCTTGGAATTCTTCTTATTTTCATCCTACTTCTTCTTCTTATCCTCATCCTCAGAAGAAGAAGAAGAATGAAAAAGAAGAAGAATGAAAAGAGAAAGAATGAATAGAAGAAGAAGAAGATGAAAAGAAGAAGAAGAATGAAAAGAAGAATGAGAAGAATGGAAAGAAGATTCTTCTTCTTCTTTTCATTCTTTTCTTTTCATTCTTCTTCTTCTTTTCATTCTTCTTCTTCTTTCTTTTCATCTTCCTTTTCATCTAATTCTTCTTTTCATTCTTCTCATTTTCTTCTTCTTTCTTCTTTTCATTCTTCTTCTCAAAAAGGGATTCTTCTTCTTTTTTTCATTCTTCTTTTCATTCTTCTCATTCTTCTTCTCATTCTTCTTTTCATTCTTCTTCTTTTCATTCTTCTTTTCATTCTTCTTCTTCTTTTCATTCTTCTTTTCTTTTCATTCTTCTTTTCATTCATTTTTCATTCTTCTTCATTCTTCTTCTTTTCATTCTTATTCTTTTCTTCTTTTCATTCTTCTTCTTCTTTTCATTCTTCTTTTCATTTTCATTCTTCTTTTTCATTCTTCTTTCATTTCTTCTTCTCATTCTTCTTTTCATGAAGAAGAAAAGAAGAATGAGAAGAATGAAAGAAGATTGAAATGTGAAAACAGAAGCATTGAAAGAAGAATGAAAAGAAGAATGAAAAGAAGAATGAAAAGAAGAATGAAAAGAAGAATGAGAAGAATGAAATGAAAATGAAAAGAAGAATGAAAAGAAGAATGAGGAAAAGGAAGAAGAAGAATGAAAAGAAGAAGAAGAATGAAAAGAAGAATGAAAAGAAGAAGAAGAAAAAAAAGAAATAAAAGAAGAATGAAAAGAAGAAGAAGAATGAAAAGAAGAATGAAAGAAAAAGAAAGAGAATGAAAAGAAGAATGAAAAGAAGAAGAAGAATGAAAAAAAGAAGAAGAAATGAAAAGAAGAATGAGAAGAATGAAAAAGAAGAAAAGAAGAGAAGAATGAAAAGAAGAATGAAAAGAAGAAGAAGAATGAAAGAGAAAAGAAGAAGAATGAAAAGAAGAATGAAAAGAATGAAGAAGAATGAAAAAAGAATGAAAATGAAAATGAAAGAATGAAAAGAAGAATGAAAAGAATGAAAATGATTCTTCTTCTTCTTTTCATTCTCTATTTGAGTCTCCTTTCCTTGATCATTCATTCGTTTTCATTTCTTTTGACAGTTCTTCTCAAAAATAATACTGGCAAAGAAGAATTTCATTCTTCTTTCTCTTTCAATATGTTCAAAAAAAATTCTTTCTTCTTTTCATTCATTTTGTCTATTTTTTTCGAGGAAGTGGTTTTCCAAAGTGTCCATTTTTTTCATTTTCTGTGAAATTCATTAGATGTCATCAATTTTTCAGAATTCTGTAATTGACATTTCTTCGTTTATGAAAAAGAAAAAAGAAGAGAAGAATAAACTTTATTGAAAAGAAATAAGAATTCTTCTTCATTTTCATTAACGAACTTCTTTCCTTCTTCTTTTCTTCCGAATAAAAGAATCCTAAAATCCTCAAGTAGAAAGTGAAAAGAAGGAAAAGAGAATCTCAAATGAAGAAAAAGTAATAGAAAGAATAAAGAAGAATGAAACAAAGAAAAAATATAAGAAAAATGAAAAGAAAAGTAAAGGCATGAAAAGAGGGGGAATTAAAAAGTAAGAAAGAAGAATTGAATAAAAAAAGGAAGTATGTAATGAAGAATGAAAAGAAGAATGAGTCTAAGAATGAAAAGATTCTTCTTCTTCTTCTCCTTGATTCTCCTTTTCTTTTCATTTTCTTGTTTTTCATTCTTCTTTTCATTCTTCTCATTCCCCTTTTCATTCTTCTCAATTCTTTCTTCCTCATTCTTCTTTTCATTCTTCTTTCCTCCATTCTTTTTTCATTCTTCTCTAAAAAATATTGTCATATCTTCTTTTCCTAAAATTAGAAATATTCTTCTTTTAAGAAAGAGATTCGAAAAGGCGGCTTCTTTGAATTTCTTCTTTATTCTATGAGATTCTTCTTGATTATTCTTCACTCTCATTCTTCTTTTCAAGGAAGTAGAAATGAAAGAACAGAAGAATGAAAAGAAAATGAAAAGAAGAAGAAGGAAGAATGAAAAATTTTTTGAGAAGAAGAATGAAAAGAAGAAGAGATTAGAAAATGAAAAGAAGAAAAGAATGAATGAAAAGAAGAATTGCTTTTAGAAGAATGAAAAGGAAAATAATTCATTCTTTTCTCTTCTTTTTATTCTTCTTTTTCTTTTCAGGTCTCTTTCTTTTCTCATTTCTTCTCATTCGTTCTTTTCAAAAATTCATTCTCTACAATTCTAATAAAGATTAAAAAGATTCAAAAAACATCACCACCCCCCCCCCCCCCCCCCCCCCCCCCCCCATCCCCCTCCCCCCCCAATGAGGAAGAGGAGTAATTAAGATCTAAAAGAAAAAGAAGAAATCTAAATAAAAAAGGGAATTGAGAAAATGAAAATAAGAAGAAAATGAAAAGAGAAAATGGGAGCAAGATCTACCGAAAATGAAGAAAAAAGAAGCCGCGATGAGAGAGATCAGAATGAACCGAAAAGAAGATAAAGAAGTAAAGAAGAAGAAGAGCGAATGAAAAGAAGAGAAGACCTAAAGAAGAAGAAAGAAGAATGAGATAGAAGAAAGAAGATTGAAAATTTGAGTACAAGAAGGAGAGACTTCTTTTCTGAGCAAGGGGAAATTCTTACTTCTTCTTCTTTCATTCTTCTTTTCTATTCTTCTCATTCTTCTTTTCATTCTTTGATTCTTTCTTCTCATTCTTTTTTAAAAGGATTCTCATTCTGTCTTTTCATTCTTCTTCTTCTAATAATTCTTCTTTTCATTGTCTTCTCATTCTTCTTTATTCTTCTTCTCATTCTTCTTTTTATTTCTTCTAGCAGAGAATTTTTTTTTTCTAATTTTCATTCTTCTTCTTCGTTTCATTCGTTCTTCGTCTTCTTTTCAGAAATTCTTTTCATTCTTTCGTTTCATTCTTCTACGAGATAAACGGATCGGTCAGAGCAGAAGTATAGAAAGTCGATTCTTCTAAAAACAAGTCATTTCTTACTTTTCTATTCTTCTTCTTCTGAAGATAAAATTAGAAGCAGATTCTTCTTTTCATTCTTCTTCTCATTCTTCTTTTCATGAAGAAATAAAAGAAGAATGAGAAGAAAGAAAAGAAGGGAGGAAGAATGAGAGGCTAAAGAAGAATGAGAAGAGAAGTAATGAAAAAGAGAAGAAGAAAGAAGAAGAATGAGAAGAATGAAAAGAAGAATGAAAAGAAGAAGTATTCCAGTTAAATACAGTGCAGCAAAAAGTGTATCTGCAGAGAGCTCCGCTATTTCTGACAGTCTCTGACAGTTCCTTCACATTTTACAGCGGTTGAAACATTGTATCTGTTTCCGAATAAAAACATCTGTATCCTAAATGGAAACAAACAGATACAATGTTTCAACCGCTGTACATGTGAAGGAAACTGTCAGAGAACTGTCAGAAATAGCGGAGCTCTCTGCAGGGACACTTTTGCCCGGCTGATCGGGAAAAAATCCGATTCGCGCGCGTACCCCAAAGTATGCTAATATTCGGATTCGCCGCGAATCAAATTTTTCCTGAAATTATCGAAACAAAATTCCACTTCGCTCTGGTTCGATTCGCTCATCTCTAGAAATAATGTATATTTAAAACATAGAACAGGATAAATTTGCAGACTTACAATTATTAGACGTGGTCAGGCATTCACAGTTCTACACTATAACGTGTTTGCTGGTATTCCAGTGTGCATCCACCAGACCAGAAGTGACATATACTGAAGTTCCACTCTATGCATTTCATCTATAAACATGCAATGTCTTCAGAAAAAATGTATCAAGAAAAACAGGCAACGACGGCTCCACCTGTAAATTTTTTTTAAAAGTGAAAAACAATGAAAAAGTAGATGAATAAATTAAAAAGATCTTCCATGGCTCATGAGAACTGCAGTTCAAAGTGTAATCAAGTATCTATATGAATACATAAATTCAACACTTCCCAACTTGCAGAAAGAGTGCTCCCATTGAATGCATCTTTGTGTAGATATAGAACTCATCTGGCATGGCGTGAAAGCCGGGTTTGGGGATTCTGTTATCATAATAGTGATGAAGGATAACATTCCCTTCTGGGTCTCTAGAAAAGGGCCAAAATCCATAGAGAGAGTCACTTTGTCGCACAGTTCAATAGCAGCCGTGACTAACATGACCCCTGAAGATAGACGTCTGGCCTTAATACCCATCGCTCTCCAGTACCTGGAAATGTTGCTGAGGTAATCCGGATGGTAGAAGACAACTTTGTTTTTCAACTTGAATTCTTCTACAGAGTAAAAGACCCGAAAGGAAACATCTGTGTTACTGACGTAGGAGAAAGCTGGCAGTACGATCATTGCAGAACCGTAATCTTTGATATGGTTGATGAAAGGTTTTCGCCTTGAAAAGAGTCTTTCATACCTTCAATCATTAAGAGGATAGTTAAACAAGAAAATGGAAGTTTATTTACTTTACAAATAAAAAAAGAAATTAAAATGCTCACCCCCCAAAATAAAATGGACTTGGTTGATTGCTAAGTCATCCAAGAGCAACTGTACCAATCCCTCTATGGCAATGGGCAATGGAAATGGGCCAAACACTTTGTCACCACGGGAATAATCCTCTGCTGCCATAGTAATGGATTTTAACCCTACATTGACACAAAAAATGGACCCTGTCCTTTAGAAACCATGACTATGGACCTGGTTGCTTGATCACCATGGCAATAGACTTAATTGCTGAGACAAGGTAACTGGGTCACAATTTTTCCTTTGCTATGGCAGGAAGGCAAGGTACTATGGCCATCATGACAATGGAATGGAACCTTTGGTCATGATGGCAATAAGGTCAAACCTTTGTCACCATGGCTATGTGTGGATCCTTTCATCGCTTTGGCAATTCAATTGAGTGAATGATGTGCTCACGATAGCAAGGATGTGTATCCTTCAGTTGCCCTAGCAACTGTGAGGATGTCTAGGTGGATATGACAATAGAGCAGGTTATAAGGCAAGTTGCTTTTCTCCCAATGTGTCAGGAATGGACTGGCCAGCAATAGTGGGACTCAGCTGCCTTATGAGCTGCAGTACCAGGGCTGGCCAGCGGGTGCTCCCAGCAATCAGAGACTCAACCTTGCAGCCAGTCAAACACCTGGAACTAATTATACTGGTGTATTTAAGGGACATTCAGACCTGCAGACTCTGCCTTGGTGTTGTGTTTCTCTTGGGCCCTGTATCCTGTTCCTGCTCTCTGTTCCTGTCTGATTCTCTGCTGACCCTGCTCTGATCCCTGGCTTGTCTGACCATTCTCCTCTGCCTGACCCTCTGTACCACGCTGCCCGCTACCTGCGGAACCTGGCCTGTGACCCTGACCATTCTCCGCTTGCTCCCCCTGTACCTACCTGCCCGACTGATATTGACCCGGCCTGCCTGACGACGCTTGCATTGTATGTACTGTTATCTGTGGGTGGTTGGTTGGTTTGTTTGCACTGTGTTATGTTTTAGTATTGCACTGCGTTTATGTTTGTATGGTTAGTGTTAATAAATTACATTGTTTATAACATATCTGAAGTCTGCATTTCCCTGCGTCAGTCACACACCTCTGGTCATACCCGGGAGCCCTGACATTACACCAAGGCCAATCCTGACCAGAAGTGGCTGCACAGGGAAGCCATCTTGGCTTGTTGATGGGAAGGATGGATCTGGATGAGGTTGAGTATTTATATCTGCTAGTGTTTGATGACAGAAAATATGCTTATCAGACTCTGAAGGAGTATCCCCGGGATGAACTGCTAGAATGTATACGGCTCGCTCATGTTCTAGTAGATCAGGGCACAGATTTCTCTATGGTGCAGCCATTCATTAAGGTTTGTGTTGAGTTGGTTTCACCTGGTTCCCCCGAATGCAGGGATGAATTTTTGCCACCATTTAGTGCCGACCAGGTAGAGTCCCTGGTGTGGTTATTAGAGGATGATGTGGATTACTTTCTGGAGCGTTATTCCACATATTCACCACAGACACTAAGAGATTGTATAAACGCAGTGCAGTCTTTGGTCAGACAGGCTTTGTGTAAGCTCAGCTTTGTTCAACCCATACTGCAGACATGGTCAGACTTGTTACACCCAGCCTCAGTCAGCTTACAAAGACCCAGTCCTGCTTCTAATCTATTTCCTCAAAGCTCTACTCCTGTATTCCCACCAGCTCCTCCAGTTACAGCCCAGTATACTTGGCTATCTACCGCATGTCAGTACCCTGTTCCCACTCGCTGCACCTATCCTGCCTTTAACCCTGTAAAGAAGCCCTCTGTAGCGACTGTTCCTTCCCCTGTTCCATCCTCCAGCTCTTCTCTGACTCCAGCTGCTCCATTCGTTTGCAGACCTGCGTTTACTTGCAGTGCTCCAGTAGTTAAAACCAGAAAAAGCGAAAATTCTTTCCAACCAATACCATCCTGCCAGTATCCAAACCGGTGAACCTGCCTTCCGTGGTTCAGCCTGAAGCCTCTACTCAGCCTGAAGCCTCTACTCAGCCTGATGCCTCTCTTCAGCCTGATGCCTCTACTCGGCCTGAAGCCTCTACTCGGCCTGAAGCCTCTACTCGGCCTGATGCCTCTACTCGGCTGAAGCCTCTACTCGGCCTGAAGCCTCTACTCGGCCTGAAGCCTCTACTCAACCGGACACGCCGGCATTCAGCCTGATGCCTCTACCCAGCGTGATGAACTGATCCAGCCTGACGATCCTATTAGACCTGGTGACTCAGTGCCCACTGCCTTGCCAGATGACGCGGTGCCCGCTGGCGAGCCAAATGACCTGATGCCTGGTGACCCAGTGCCCGCTGTCATACCTGGTGACCCGATGCCCGCTGTCATACCTGGTGACCCGATGCCCGCTGTCGAGCCAGACGATCCAATGCCTGGTGACCCGGTGCCCACTGCCTTGCCAGATGACGCGGTGCCCGCTGGCAAGCCAAATGACCTGATGCCTGGTAACCCAGTGCCCGCTGTCATACCTGGTGACCCGATGCCCCGCTGTCGAGCCAGACAATCCGGTACCTGATGACCCGGTGCCCACTGTCGTGCCTGTTGACTCGGAGCCCACTGCCTTGCCAGATGACGCGGTGCTCACTGTCGAGCCAAATGACTTGATGCCTGGTGACCCGATGCCCGCTGTCCAGTCAGACGATCCAATGTCTGACCCAGTGCCCGCGGTCATGCCAGTTGACTCGGAGCCCACTGCCTTGCCAGATGACGCGGTGCCCGCTGTCGAGCCCAATTACCTGATGCCTGGTGACCCGATGCCCGCTGTCCAGCCAGACGATCCAAGGTCTGACCCCAGTGCCAGCGGTCATGCCAGTTGACTCGGAGCCCACTGTCGTGCCTGGTGACTCAGTGCCCGCCGCTTCGCCTGGGGGCCCGAGACCTGTCGCTCCCGCCTGGGGGTCCGGTGCCCGCCGCCCCGCCTGGGGGCCTGAGACCTGTCGCTCCGCCTGAGGGCCCGAGACCTGTCGCTCCACCTGGGGGTCCGGCTCCCGACGCTCCGCCTGGGGGCCTGAGACCTGTCGCTCCGCCTGAGGGCCCGAGACCTGTCGCTCCACCTGGTGGTCCGGCGGCGCCCGCCGCTCTCTGCCTGAGGGCCCGAGACCTGTCACTCCACCTGGGGGTCCGGCGCCCGCCGCTCTGCCTGAGGGCCCGAGACCTGTCGCTCCGCCTGGGGGTCCGGCGCCCGCCGCTCTGCCTGGGGGCCCCATGCCTGTTGCCCCGCCTGGGGGCCCGATGCCTGTTGCCCCGCCTGGGGGCCCGATGCCTGTCGCCCCGCCTGGGGCCCCGATGCCTGTCGCCCCTCCTGGGGGCCCGGCGCCCGCCGCTCCGCCTGGGGGCCCGATGCCCGTCGCCCCGCCTGGGGGCCCGATGCCTGTCGCCCCGCCTGGGGGCCCGACGCCTGTCGCCCCGCCTGGGGGCCGGTGCCCGCCGCTCCGCCTGGGGGCCCGATGCCGTCGCCCCGCCTGGGGCCCGATGCCGGTCGCCCCGCCTGGGGCCCGATGCCGGTCGCCCCGCATGGGGACCTGATGCCGGTCGCGCCCCGCCCGGGGGCCCGATGCCTCTTGCTCTTCCCTGGGGCCCGGTGCCTGCTGCTCCGCCTGGGGGCCCGGTGCCTGCTGCTCCGCCTGGTGGCCCGCTGCCTGCTGCTTCGCCTGGTAATCCGATGTGCCTCTGCCCGGAGTCCGGCCCGATGTGCCTCTGCCCGGAGTCCAGCCCGATGTGCCTCTGCCCGGAGTCCAGCCCGATGTGCCTCTGCCCGGTGTGCCTCTGCCCGGTGTGCCTCCGCCCGGAGTGCCTCTGCCCGATGTGCCTCTGCCCGGAGTCCTGCCCGATGTGCCTCTGCCCGGAGTCCTGCCCGATGTGCCTCTGCCCGGAGTCCAGCCCGGTGTGCCTCTGCCCGGTGTGCCTCTGCCCGCTGTGCCTCTGCCCGGAGTCCAGCCCGATGTGCCTCTGCCCGGAGTCCAGCCCGATGTGCCTCTGCCCGGAGTCCAGCCCGATGTGCCTCTGCCCGGTGTGCCGCTGCCCGGAGTGCCTCTGCCCGGAGTCCAGCCCGATGTGCCTCTGCCCGGAGTCCAGCCCGATGTGCCTCTGCCCGGAGTTCAGCCCGATGTGCCTCTGCCCGGAGTCCAGCCCGATGTGCCTCTGCCCGAGTCCTGCCCGATGTGCCTCTGCCCGGAGTCCTGCCCGATGTGCCTCTACCCGGTGTGCCGCTGCCCGGAGTCCTGCCAGGTGTGCCAGTCTTTGATATCCCGCCAGTTACCAGACCCGGGCAGTGGAACATTTTGCCCAGCTAGGACTGTTTGGATCGTCCTGAGGCCGCTCCTTGAGGGGGGGGTACTGTCAGGAATGGACTGGCCAGCAATAGTGGGGACTCAGCTGCCTTATGAGCTGCAGTATCAGGGCTGGCCAGCGGGTGCTCCCAGCAATCAGAGACTCAACCTTGCAGCCAGTCAAACACCTGGAACTAATTATACTGGTGTATTTAAGGGACATTCAGACCTGCAGACTCTGTCTTGGTGTTGTGTTTCTCTTGGGCCCTGTATCCTGTTCCTGCTCTCTGTTCCTGTCTGATTCTCTGCTGACCCTGCTCTGATCCCTGGCTTGTCTGACCATTCTCCTCTGCCTGACCCTCTGTACCACGCTGCCCGCTACCTGCTGAACCTGGCCTGTGACCCCGACCATCTCCGCTTGCTCCCCCTGTACCTACCTGCCCGACTGATATTGACCCGGCCTGCCTGACGACGCTTGCATTGTATGTACTGTTATCTGTGGTTGGTTGGTTTGTTTGCACTGTGTTAAGTTTAGTATTGCACTGCGTTTATGTTTGTATGGTTAGTGTTAATAAATGACATTGTTTATAACATATCTGAAGTCTGCGTTTCCCTGCGTCAGTCACACACCTCTGGTCATACCCGGGAGCCCTGACACAGTGGTCAATTAACAGCTCCAGCTTCTCCTTCTAGTCCACCCATGTCCTTCTGAATGATAGGGCAGTATAGAGCAGATTGTAATTCTGCCTGTGTTCTTCTCCAGTGGTCCATAATGAGCTTCAGCTCTGCCTTCTTTTCCTCTTTTAGCTGTCATGTACCTGGTCTTAGAGCCTGATGTGAAGAGGAAGGCCTTTTTTATAGCTCTGGCTCAGAAACCACTGGGAGTGAAACAGTGCTGCGAGAGCATGGTGAGGTATGAGTGCCTGTAGTAAGTCCGGTAGTCGCACAGGTAAGTAACCGACGGGAATGAGCCAGGAGACAGAGGAGGCCAACAGCGACAGATGTAGCAGACCCAGAGCTGGCTGGCATCAGCCTAGCAGGTGCTTGGCTGGCTGGTGACAGGTTGTAGGTGCTTGAGCCAGTTGGCAAGAACCAGGCGAGACCATATTGGTCAGGAAGCGCTGTGGCAGACTGGATGAACAGGATGCAGGGTCAGACATGCCTGGTCAGTAGCAGACAGTCAGATCAGGCATAAACAGCAGGCAGAAGAATAGTCAGGACATAGGCCTAGGTCAGCAATGGTAAGGGAGATTAGACAAAGACAGGAGGCAAGAGCAGATTCTAGGGGTAAGCTGAAGTCAGGGCAGGTAGCGTTCAAGCATGAACAGAGGCAATCCAGGTCAGGAACAGAAGTCAGGCACAGGAAATGGCAACAGAGTACATGGAATGCTGTAGATCAGCAGCCCTATTTAGTGCCTGTTTGGTACCAGTATAAGTGACAGGCACGCCTGTGCAACCTGTCCCTGACACTCCCTGGCCTGCGCCTTTGTGTATGTCTAGTATCATTGTCTGCACTATGGGCAAGCCTTCCCTGACACTAGACCACACATGTTATTCTAAATAATATGAATCACTCAAAATGGTCAAAAAATATATAACTTTACTGAGTAATGAATGCTCATACATGAAAATCCTGCAGTTTTAGTACAAACATATGCAGCACCCACTTGGTTAGCTAGGGGAGCTTGCTGATTATTTTTTAGTTAGAAGGGCTGAGTAGCAGCCTGGGGGAAGAGTCAGCAGGGTCAAATTTGGGTCAGGGATGAGGGGCTCTGCAAATCAATTCCTTGATACCTCCCCCTGCTGTAGAATTTTGGAGAAGATTCTAGAAGCAGTGGGCAGGGGTGAGGAGGAGCTGGTCTGCATACTCAAGGGACTCTGGCCAATCTCCAAGCAGAAGGCTTGGTATGGGACCAGATTAGCCCTTAAGTATTACTGAGCCTTCTCAGAAGCAAGAGAGTTTGGGTAGAAGATGTGAGGAAGGCTGAGATGCAGGAGCCTGGGAGGGGGTCCAGTAGGAAAGAGCTTACCTACAGGCTGGGACATAAAAAGGAGGATTGCTCAGCCTCATTGGTCCCCGAAGGGAGGACTACCTCTAGAACCAGGAAAGGAGCCAGCCCAGCAGAAGGCCTGAAGGCAGCCACCTTCCTAAACCAGCTCAAAGGAAAGAGACTGAGTAAGTAATCCTACACCTCCCTGGGCTATCTAAGGGGAAAAGAGTACTCTGGTGGGAAACCTGATTATCTCCTTAGCCGGGACTGTTTGATCCTAGAGTGGCAGACACTGGATCCCCTTGCCCAGGAATTCCTCCAGATAGCTGGATAGAAGAGGGCTATCTTGGGTGGTACACCAGACAAGGCTGGAGAGCTCTCCAAGAAAAGAAAACCTTCTATGGACTTGTACATAGTTGCTAAGGAGTTTATCCTCAGATACATTTCCCTTGGGCATCCTATACACCCCCTATCCCATTGATCAAATCCCCTAATAAAATAAAAAAAAACAAGCTCAAGGACTGTTTACTGTCTCGAGTATGCAACATGACGTTCAAGTCTGAGGAAAAGGCGTGTTGCCTGGCTATGCAGGACTATAGGGAGACCAAAATCTTCTGCGACCCTTAAGGGGGGTAGTGCTACAAATACACTGTTACCTTACCCATGTAGGACAAAGTGTTTCTAAAACCATCATCTGACCAATCTATACCAACCTTGCCAGTGCTCCATTTTGTACACAGTACCAATGCCCAGCACTTCTGGATAAGAAGGACCATGTGACCTGCCACCCTCAGACTCTGGTCTATCAGCCAATCATTAGGCCCAAGGGTGGAGGGGCAAAGGCCCTCCTAAATTATGACGGTTTCCTTCAAAACCCCTATTTTATAGAAGAAAATCTCACTTTTCTCTCAGTATACTTGGGTTGCAAGTGATGAAATGGGACTTCGTTCCAATGTGTTCCGCCATTGTGAGAGGAGGCAGATTAGGCCTGCAACAGATTAGAGAGAAAAAGGTTTATGTACATAAATGATGAAATTGACATTTTATTGTATCCCCTGGCAATTGACTTTCCTTTGAATTAATAAATTATTCTACAAAGAGCAAAGGGCAGCAATGCTGTAATCAGCATACAGCCATTTCAAACATAGTTTTATGATTAATAAGCATTATAGATTGCTCTGGTTTTTTAATTTTCTTGTTCAATGAAAGACAATGTCCTGCAAAGATTAGGAGCTGTAGCTGAAATGGAAACCAAACATAAAAGAACCGTTCGCAGAGGGCATTTGAAAGACACAAGAAAGAAAGAAAAATGAAAAACTGATCCAAGACAATACAGTTTCCGTTTATAGTATATCTATAGGCAAAATGTTTCTTTTTACTTTTGTGTAGAGCAGAGGCCTTTAAACTGCAGATTGTGGGCCGTATGCGGCCCTTTGCTTGCCTTTATCTGGCCCTTGGGGCCCTATTCCATCCACTGACACCAATGCCGGCCATAGACGGGTCGAAAATCGGCCGATTTTTCGCACCATTAGTGGATTAATTGGTTGGCTGTTTTTTGGGCTTTTTGAACACTTTTTTTATCGGGCATGTTGGAAAATTCGTGGCCGATTTTGACGATTGGCCGATTTTCCTGGCAATGATGGGCAAATTGGCAGATCGTTTTACCAATAAAAAATCTGCGCATGAGCCGTGACCTGCAAGAAGAAGAAAAAGAAGAGGAAGAAAAATAATAAGAAGAAGAAAAAGAAGAAGAAGAACAAGAAGAAAAAGAAGAAGAATAAGAAGAAAAAAGAAAAAGAAAAAGAAAGAAGAGAAGAAGAAAAAGAAAAAGGAAAAGGAAAAGAAAAAGGAAAAGGAGAAAAAGAGAAGAAGAAGAAGAAGAAGAAGAAAAAAAGAAAAAAAAAAAGAAGAAAGAAGAAGAAGAAGAAGAGGAAGAAGAAGAAAAGAAGAAGAAGAATAGGAAGAAGAATTCCAGGCTGCTATTATATTTTATATGAAAAGTCTTGCGGTTGCAACAATGTATCCATTTGTATCCGAATAAAAACATCTGTATCTGAAATGGATACAAATAGATACATTTTCCACTCCCACTGACAACAGTCTGCCGCCCCCCCCCCCCCCCCTAAAGTTTGAAGGAGAGAAAATTGGCCCTTTGTTTAGAAAGTTTGGAGACCCCTAGTGTAGAGTGAGGAGGGGAAGACCCCTGCCAGTATATTTATTTCTTCCTGTGTTCTGTTTAAGGGATTTCCTTTCACTTTCTGTCACTAAAACTGGAAAGTAAATAATAGGTAAACCCCACAAAGTGAGGGGAATTGACCTCTTAGATCAGTGGTCTCCAAACTGCAGGAGCCAGATGTGCTTGCCCTTATGTGTCCCTTGGGGCACTATTCCATCAACTGACACCAATGATGGAGCACTATCCCATCAACTGACACCAATGATGGAGCACCATTCCTCCTATTGACACTATCAATGGGGCACTATCGGTTAACGTAATTTTCGGTTACGAATGAAAATCCATTCAAAACAGTGCCTCAGTTTACTAATTTTTTTCACAAATTCTCTTGCAATACAAAGTGTATGTTGTGCCGATTTTTAAATGCAACTGCCAGCTTTTTTTTCCCTTCACTATTGCTCACAGAATTAGCTGTCACTTTCACAGTAGATCCAACGTCAATCACGATGTCCGCCTCCGACCCAAAAAAAGAATTAGCCTCCAACGATGGCTCCTGGCCCTCTGCCTGCTCCGGTGGTTTGACAGTTCTTAAATATGTAAGGGACAGGGCCACCCCGGGACATCATCCGAGTGACCCCAGATACCAATGGCGGTATTCCTGAGTGTAGCTCGGGGTAAAGTTTCAGTACCAAAAGCGGTAACCCCCCCCGAGCTACACTCAGGAATACACTGCAGCATTGCTCCGGGATCTGTTCTTCTCTTACCTTGTCCTGCGCTCCCGCGATGTCCCCCCTGCAGTGTCCCCGGCCATCTCCTCCAGATCATGCCGGCATCTGTCTTCTGGGTTTCCGTTCCCTGCGACATCGGGACGTATGGGGGATGGAACTGGCGGGAAATTAAAAAACGTTAAAAGTGACATTAACTAAATTCACTAAAATCACATAGTATAACATTCCTGTATCAAACCATTTCACATATATTTTGTCCCGAGTGCTTTGTCCGGCGGACCTGCCTGCATTTTTACTGTTCTTTCTGCCTGGAAACTGAGAAATGTCCATGGCGTCCAAAAAGCGTCCCTTTAGGTCAGACGCGGTTTTAGACCGGCTAGAGAACAGCGATAGTAAATCAGAACCACTTGCAGAATTGAGTGATAATGATTCGTGGGGGAAATTCCTCATCAGACACTGAAAACGATTCTGCGACTGAGCTCAGCGATATGCGAACTTGGCGCTATATTTCACATTTCAGTGTTTTTGGTTTGATTATATTATTGAATTAAATGTAATATTATTATTTTTATGATTATTTATTATATTATAATTTATGATTTTGTGTTTCAAGTTTTATCATACCCGGGATGTTTACTAGACTCTTGTTCGGACAGATTTCAGTGAGTTTTTCCTAAAAATTACAGGCCTACAATAAAAAAACAACATATTTCCATGCAAAAAAAGTACCGCTTTGAGCACAGAAATATGGACACAATCAGACCGCTAGGGAGGTTAATACATATAATCATCATTTAAATGTTGTTTTTCCTTGGGAAAATATTTAAATTTGTTTGATGATCTGAATTATTTAAGTGTGACAAATATGCAAAAAAATAAAAAATCAGGAAGGGGCAAATACTTTTTCACAGCGCTGTATATAATCGCAAATAAACATGAGCTATTTTCATACATCTGTGAATAAAAGGCAATGTCCAAAAGTGTTTTTCATATGATCGAAACTACAAGTGATTGTGTCACTCCAAGTGAATACATGAATGTACATAAAAGTTCAGTTCTTCTTTAGTGACCAATACACCAATGCCCACCATTACACATGTGCTCCACCCCAAACCGTGCAAAGAGTGCCCTCACCTTCTAACTGTGACCCACATCACATAGATTTAAAGTGGTTCTAAAGTCTCAAGGTTTTTTACCTTCATGCATTCTATGCATGAAGGTAAAAAACCTTCTGTGTTTAGCAGCCCCCAGCTCCCTCTAACACTTACCTGAATCCCCTTTTGATCCAGTGATGTTCATGAGAGCCTTGATTCTCCAGGTGCTTTCACTCCTGTTCAGCTGAGGCAGCATCAGGAGCCAATGGCTCCTGATGCTGCTGTCAATTTCAGCCAGTGAGCCCATCAGTAGAGGTAGGGGGCAGGCCCGAGTCTCAGCTCCCTGTGTGAATGGACATGCAGAGCTGCAGATTGGGAGTGTGTCTGCTTGGGTGTCCCCATAGAAAGCTGTTTTCTACGGGGGCACCCAACAGGAGGGGAGGGACCAGAAGCGGGGGACCCAAGCAGAGGAGAATCCGGGATGCGCTGTGCAAACTACTGGACACAGCAGGTAAGTATGACATATTTGTTATTTTTAAGGGAAAAAAAACTAGACTTTAGTATCACTTTAGGAACTTCAGGCACTTCCGATGGTCTTAACTCATCCAGATCTTGCTCTTTCTTCCCCAAAATGATTTCTTAACAAATTTCAGTATCCATCGCCTGAAGAAGTCAAAAGGTTGTGACTTAATGCATATCACAGTGCCGGGCGACGTCATCGCACTCTGTGCCCTGATGTTGAGGGGCCATTTTCCTGAAGCCTGATCCATACACTATGAGTTAACTGTTATTAACTTTTACTGATGTCACTGTAACTTATACAATGTACTTAATTCATTTCATCATATCCCTCCATACGTTGGTGTTCAATGTGAATGCTTCTATTACATTAGCGGTCAGTGTAAATCCCCTTTATATTGGTGGCCAGTGTAGAAACTCCTCTTTCTTTGTTAGTCAGTAAAAAATCCTACCTTGCATGTGAGGTCAGTGTCGAATCTTGACACCACAAAAATGTGTTGCCCTTTAGCAGATACATAGCAGTGTCATCCATTGTTAATGACACCCTCACGCATCTGTTGCTGTGCGTGTTTTCATGTGCACCAGAATTCACGGTGCTGTTGCACTTAGATGCTTGATGTTATTTTGAAAAAGGACCAGGGACTTTTTTTCTGCACTTCTATTCTATTTTTGGGCAACCTATCGAAATGAATAGGCTACCCTACACAACTTTACATCCCTCCAGTACACGTTTGCATCCTAAATTTCCCTGCTAACCTCTGCACCCCAAACCTCCCCCATCCTCTCTACTCCAACCTCTTCCCCTACCTTACTTCATCATGCCCCTTCTGCTCATCTTTGCACCCACCTGCCTTACCTCTGTACATCCCCTCCTTGCTCACCTGTGCACCCCAAGCTGCAATTCTTTTTCTGCCTACCTCTGTACATCCCTTCCTCCTCCATACACTTTGCTTACTTTCAGGGGCGGACTGACAACTCATGGGGCCCCCGGGCAATAGGGGATCATGGGGCCCCTGTGTCCTTGTCCAAACTCAAAAAAGCCTATGAAAAAGGTACCAGGGGCATCTCATGGGGCCCCCTACTGACCCTGGGCCCTCGGGCAGTGCCCGAGTTTCCAAATGGTCAGTCCGCCCCTGCTTACGTTTGAACAGGCTGATGGTAGTCTCAGTGATCACAGTTGTAGGCAGAGCTTTCAAGCATGCCCATGTTTATGTCCTCAGAGGGCTGCATTCAGCAAAGATGATAGGAACCTTCGGGGAGGGGGCATAATATACATATGACTGCCACATTGCCACCGCTATTTACATATGAATGATGCTGCTATTTGCATATGAATGCATTTATATGTAAATGTCGACACAGTCTGCACTTGTGAGTCATCTGTACATGGCAATAGGGCAGAGCATAAGTGACAACGCTTCAGACCAGGGGCGGACTGACAACTCATGGGGCTCCCGGGCAATAGGGGATCATGGGGCCCCTGTGTCCTTTCCCAAACTCAAAAAAGCCTATGAAAAAGGTACCAGGGGCATCTCATGGGGCCCCCTACTGACCCCTGGGCCCTCCAAATGGTCAGTCTGCCCCTGCTTCAGACTGAGATATCAGACACAGTCTGGGATGAAGACTTCAAGGGACAAGGGAATGTAAACCAGGACAGTTGGAATGTAGGGGCACAACAATGACTGGGCCCAGAGCAGCTTTCCTTTTTGCCCCTCCTTAAAGATGGCCCTGCCTGTGGATGATAGGTTGCAGACAGCTCCAAGGACATTGTAAGTAAAGACCTTTCTGTAGACTTTGGGTTTCCTTGTGCGAAATGGGTTCTAAGTGCCAGTGGATGCTACATGGACTGGGGCTGCTGTGATAGAGTCCTAGAGGATAGAGATAGAGGACTGCCTTTTCCTCACCTGAATACATAATCCATTCCATCAATTTGTTCACCACAAAAAATATTCAGTAAAATGCCACCATTGCCGACCACAGCACAGGTTTCAAAGGGTTTCTTGAGAAATGGAGAATTCTAAAAACACATAAAGATTAACACATTAACTGGAATTTATATATTTTATAAAATGTAAGTAACTATAGACACAGACAGCGCGGTTTTGCCCCGCCCTTGCTCACTCATCACATGATTTGATTGACAGCACCAGGAGTCAATCTGGTTGATTTAATAACGTTGGAGAGTACAAAATCTGGTGCACCTCTGCATAGAAACCAATCAGCTTCCAGGTTTTACTGCCAAAGCTTAAAGCGCAGCTCCACCCAAAAGGGTAAGTTCTGCTTTAAAAAAAAACTGGTTCCCCGCTCTCCATTAAGGATTGGCACCTTTGGGTACCCAAAATTGACAAGTACCCGCTCCCACTTCCACTGTGATAGCCTAGGTGATCAGAAGCGGAAGTTGTCCTCCCTCCCCATAGTCTTCTGGGACACGTGACAGGTCCCAGACTACGGGGCCATTCAGGAATCGCAGCGCTACTTGCGTATGCGCAGTGGGCACCCGGCTGTGAAGCCGCAAGCTGTCACATCCGGGTGTCCACACTGAAGATGCCAGTGCCTGGAACACCAGACAGCTGGTGAAACGGGCTTCAGGAGGACACCGCGGGATCCTGGGACAGGTGAGTGGCAGAATAAAGCAGGGTGCAGCACTACAATTATCCGTTAAATCGTATGAACATATTGTATTCAAACATCCTCATATAAAATACAATAAAATAAAAATTCAATAACAAGGTGCAAATAGAAACGTCACCAATTGGTGACTAGTAGGTGTTTGAGCACTAAACCAAATACAGTCTATAGCGTGAGTACAAAAAGATCCCAGATGATCTTCAAAAATCCAATGGCTGGATCCGTGGGTGAGGTGATAGATGTGTAAAGATTGCGCACTCACCAGATACGCAATCACAATGCGCATTTAGAGTAGATAAACCTCAAGACATCAAGGATCCTTATGTGGGTCTGGTCAGATCTGGTCAAATACCCCTCACTGCTTGGTAGTGCTGCCACATTTGGAAATAGCCGCTCTGTAGGTGTAAATGGCTCCCACTGGAGCTCAAAGAACAAAGGAGGCCAGATAGTGTGATATCCTTATGACAAGGAGTGTTTATTCCAAATAGATACAGGCAGGAGCAATGAAAAATACTGACCCATATGAGTATGCAAATGGCTGCCGGGGCCCTCGTGGCGCCGGTCGGCGTGACGTCACACCGCTGTAGCTGCTGAGTGGCAGCTTTTGTAGCTGCTGACTTTTATTATTTTACAGTGTGAGTGGAACTCTGCTTTAATTGACCAAGCTGAAGTTAGAAGCTGATTGGCTACCATGCACAGCTGCACCAGATTTTGCACTCTCCAGTTTTAGTAAATCAAGCCCAATGGCTCCCACTGCTATAAATCTGCCTTGTGAGGAGAGAGAGAGTGAAGAACACTGAAGTTTTTCCCCCTTGACACAGATTATGCGTGAAGGTAAAAGCCCTTATGCCTATAGAACCACTTTAAGGATTTTGCACTCAAATGGTCCAATAACTAAACAATTATGCAGAAAAGGTGTACGTCAGCATGGAGAAATGTTGGTTAAAATACAACCATTAAATCACACAGAATTGGCTGTGTAGGAGGAATGAAGCTTGGTGAGGAACATCCATGCTCTACTAGCAAACCGAGGTCACCGAAGACAGTTCAATGTAATAAATCTTACAAAATGACAAGACTGAGCCAAGCAACAAGACATAGCTTGTTCTACTATCAACAAGGTTCCACACATGCAGACATTTAAAAAGAAGGAAGGTGTTTCAAGATGTGCTGCCCAAGCTCAATGGAACAGGAGATGTTGAGGAACAATAATGAAGTGCTTGGCTAAGGAAACAGTGGTTGGCTAGATGAATCCCATCATTCTGGCTTATTTTTGCCATCAGTCCAGTAGCACTATCACTATCAATTTAGATTTGGTAGAAACCAGTAAGAGGAAGGCACACCCATCAGCACAGTGGCTAAATGGTTAGCACTTCCACCTGGCAGTACTAGCATCACTGGTTCAAATCCCAACCATGGCCCCACCTGCTTAAAGTTTGCATGTTCTCTCTGTGCCTGTGTGGGTTTCCTCCCACTCTCCAAAGACATGCTGGTAGGTTAATTGGCTCCTGTCTAAATTGTCCCTAGTATGTATATGTATGAATATGAGTTAGGGGCCTTATATTGTACACCCCTTGAGGGTTAGGGAGTGATGTGAATGTACAATATATATGTAAAGCGCTGCATTAATTGATGGCACTATCACCCCCCCCCATCCTATCCATCAGTACCAACAACACCACCATCAATCCCGCCCCGCAAGCCAAAGTCCTTGGCATCATTCTGGGCTCTAACCTTTCCTTCCAACCTCATGTCAAATCACTTACAAACACATGCAGGCTCCACCTCTGCAACATCGCCAAGATACGTACGTTCCTTACCCCAGACACCACCAAACTACTTGTACACTCCCTGATTATCTCACGCCTTGACTACTGCAACTCCCTTCTCACCGGCCTACCCCAGTGCAGGCTCTCCCCGCTCCAGACCATCCTGAACTCAGCAGCTAGACTCATCCACCTCACCAACCGCTCCACCTCTGCCACCCCCCTCTGCCTCTCCCTCCACTGGCTCCCGATTGCCCAACGCATCAAATTCAAACTGCTAATCCTGACCTACAAAGCCATTCACAACACTACCCCTAACTACCTCACCAACCTGATTCACAGGTACCACCCTACCCGTACCCTTCGCTCTTCACAGGACCTCCTTCTATCTTGCTCCCTGGTCTCCACCTCCCACGCACGACTGCAAGACTTCTCCAGGTCCTCCCCCATGCTCTGGAACTCACTACCCCAATCCATCAGACTGTCACCTTCCCTCCTCACCTTCAGGCGCTCCCTGAAAACCCACCTCTTCAGGGAAGCCTACATCTCCCTTACCTAACAGCCGTTCTCCTTCATTCCACCCACCACTCCACCCCCCACAGCCATTTCCTCCTGTACCACCTTCCCCTCCCTCCTAGATTGTAAGCTCGAAAGAGTAGGGCCCTCTTACCCCTCGTGTACTGTTGTTGTTGCTGTTCTGTTTCATGTATTGTCCCCCCCTCTATTGTACAGCGCTGAGCAAACCCTTTGGCGCTATATAAACTCAATGTAATAATAATAATAATCAGGGGCGGACTGACAACTCATGGGGCCCCCGGGCAATAGGGGATCATCGGGCCCCTGTGTCCTTGTCCAAACGCAAAAAAAACCTATGAAAAAGGTACCAGGGGCATCTCATGGGGCCCCCTACTGACCCTGGGCCCTCGGGCAGTGCCCAAGTTTCCAAATGGTCAGTCCGCCCCTGGGCACTATATGAGTACCTGTAATGAATAACAATGAACAGCCTGGAGAAGTCTTGTTAGAAGTGTTCTTCGTGGAAGTCTTGAGGGTACAAATCTGTACCTCCAATATGGAAACAGGGCCAAAGGACCAGTCTATGCAGGAAAACACAAAACTGGGGTGCAGAAAACAGACAACAGGTGCTCTGGACTGAAATATTTGACTGTAAGTAAATTCAGTTTGTCCACTGAAGACCAGGAGAGTTGTACAAGGATGATTGTCTACAGGCCACAGTAAAGCATGGTGGATGTTCCTTGCAATTTTGGGGCTGCATTTCAATGGATGGAGTTTGGGATTTTATTGGAAGTAAAGGTCTCCTCAGTTCTAAAAAGTACAGGAAGATACTTATCAATGATTTAATTCCATCAAGGAGGCGTTCAACTGGTTTAAAATGTTGTAGCAGGATGATATACATGTGTGTGGCATTTTCATCCACACAATTTCGGCTCACTGGATATTTTCTCTTTTTCGGACCATTCTCTGTAAACCTTGTGTGGCTACAGGAGAAGCTACTTGTAGGTAATCTTATCTTTTAAGACTGTTTGCACTAGAAAGCTAGGATTCTGAACAGACAACCATTAAAAAGACTCAAACTTATCACCAACTTAAAAAATTGTAGGTAAAAGCACAGAACAAAATAGGCAATTTGCAGCATTTTTCTTGCTATATATAATATTTTATTTACTTGCAATGTGCCCCTGAACTTGTTAACAAATTTGACTACTTCAGGAACAGTCAATTCCATGGCATTGCCCCCCCTTCTCCATGTATGTCATAGTCCTCTCATCTTCTGGGGGTGTCTAATTACTTTCTGTGCTGGCCTAGCTCCTCATCCTCCTTGATACCCAACCTGCAGGAGGAGCGAATGGGAATGCTATAGCGCGTGACTTGACTGACAGTTCTCAGTCTGCTGGAGCTGCTGACATCACAATTAAGATGGCTATACTCCCTACAGTAGACATGTGTGATTTGTTTCCTTTACGAAACAAAATTTGGATTAATTTTTTATGATTCAGATGCGTCTGAATTTCTGAATCACAATAGTAACAGATTCAACAACAAATTCAAAATACATTATAACAAAATGAATTATTCGAATTCAAAATGGAAACATATTGCAATAAATACAGTAAAGTATAAAAGTGTGATTTCTACTTGCTTTATAGAATAGAAAATAATAAAACAAAATAGAATAAAATAGAAAGGTATAGAATAAAATAGAAAGGTATAGAATAAAATAGAAAACAATAGAATAGAATAGAATTGAAAAGAATATAATTAAACAGAATAGCATATCAATTATTATTATTACACAGTATTTATATAGGGCCAACAGTTTGCTCAGCGCTGTACATTACAATGGGAGACATTACATGAGACAATACAGTAACAATAAGATTCAATACACGAGGGGTTCGAGGACCCTGCTCCTTGGAGCTTACAATCTAGGAGAATAAATTCTATTAGAATAAATTAATAGAACAGTCAGCGGTCTCCAAACTGCGGCCTGGGTTCCAGATGCGGCCCT